GTTTGTTTTTTTATCCTGTTTACTAAACAATTTAGTTTAAACCATTCCTATCTTAACTAAAAATATTTAAATTGAATTCCAATGAAAAACAAATAACAACAATAAATAACCCAGATTCCTTAACAAAAAATAGAGTAAATTCTGGTCATCCATTTAAGACTCTTAGGAATTTTCGTGGGGCCAGACATATTTATGACCAGCACCACAAGATTGGTTGCTGGCTGGATGCTTGCCCGCTGTTGGTTCGCTCATGGGGCCGGATCGTGTCGTTAGTGACCACAATAACCGCATAACCTCATGACTCACTAAAAATAGTCATATAAAGCGCAAACTAAGAGGGCTTCAACAAAAAAGATCGCTACAAATATGGCTTAAAAATAAACAAACAAACAAACATTTCAAACGAACAGAAAAAAAAATAACTGCAATGGTAATAATGGATATGCTATGCTGTGCCTTCTTAGTACAGCCGTATAAATTAACACTACACTACAACAAACACCAACAACTACAACAAAAAAATAAATAAACCAACAATAAGAAATGACAAACTCACGTTTTTGGTGTCTGCTGATTGTGCCGAGTTTAGGACCATAGTCATCCGCTGAAGAAGTGATTTTCGATGATTGTCGTCGGCCATCAAAGTGAGCCGTTGTCGAAGATGATTGCAGCCTATTGTTGCTGTTTGATGTCGTTCTAAAGCGTTGATATCTTGTCGAGGGACTCTCTGAGGAACTGTTGATGGTACCTTCAGTGGTGACGGCGGCCCCTAGTCCAAATGTTCGTCGTTTCGTAGAAAATTGATTTTTATGCTGAATTGTTTCCCCATGTTCCCCATTGCGGACGACGACCACAACATCTGATGAACGATCATTGCGACTGTTGCTATGAAAACTACGATGTTGTCGTATGCCGCCACTACTACTATCATCATCATTATTGTTGCTATTCGATTTAGGGGTGGTCGCATCCACATGCCTAACAAGCCGTGTCGAAGCCAATGTTGTTGTTGGCGCTTCACCTAAAATTGCTGGTGGCTTAGAGGTGGTAATTTTCGTGGATGTTGCCGCGTGCTGCCTTGCCTGTGGCAGTCGTCTTTGTCGTTGGGCCATCTTTGCCGACGTTGCAGGCGACGATGTTGTTGTTGTGGTGGTAGTGCTGGTGGTGGGGGCGGCCGCTGATATACTACTCACGGTGGTGGTGGTGCCAAGACGACGTCTCAATTGTGGGGGCCTTGGTAATGATGGTGGCACTGGTGTTGTTGTTCGTACGAAAGAAAATCTAGTTCGCCCAGCGAATTGATTGCGCCTTGCAGACGATGATGATGGTGTTGAGGATGTTACTTCCACGACCGATGCTGTTGTCGTGGCTAAGGAGGTTGTTGCCAACATTAACAACAGCGACACCATTAAAAGTGGAAGTAGTTTTTGGAACAAGTTTAAGGCCAACGACTTCATCTGAAATTAGAAAGGGTGGAGAAGACACAGACAAAAACAAAATTAGAGATGGAACATTAAATTATGAATTTTCACGAACAAAAATAATGTGAAAAAAAACATTTGACTGAAAAAACTATAAATTATATAATGCATTTTATTAAGTCATGCACTTTTCCGTGATAATACCAATTTATTGTTGTTGTAGTTTTTGTTTTTATTGGCAATTTTTTGTGTGTTTCTGGTTAGCTAACGGTTATGGCTTGGTTGGTTAAGCTATTTGCTGACGTAGCTGTGGCTTCTTTTTTCTATGCCATCATCTAAGCCTGAATGTTTGTTTTTGTGTGCAAATGTGCATCCAGCGTTAGCCAAAAACGGAACAGTGGTATTGGGTTTGGTTTATTCTAAAAAAGGTTTTTTTTTTTTTTAACAGAATAATGACAGTTGCTAGAGGTTTCGTGCTCCACAATTTGTCTTAATTTTTTTCCTATAAAAAATTCAGTACCCAGACTAATAAATAGACTTAGACTAGAAATGTTTCTGTAAAAAAAGAAAATAGTTCATGCAGGACTGAAAATTTCTCAGTAGAAAAAATAATTTGTACATAACTACGGATTTTCTGTATAAATAAATTCAAACCACACAGGAAGAACGAGCTTTCTATATCAAATAAAATAAAGCATACTTTAAGGACATGTCACTAAAAATTATCATTAAAATTGTTTTTGAAAAAAAAAAATTAATATGTCTGAGAATTTTTTCTTTTAATTGAGGCTATGTCACAAATATAGTCACATCAAGATACTAAAATATAGTAATTTACCTATAAATACCAATAAAATTAGGGGTATTATTTTATGGGAAGTATATCGGATTCTTGACCGATATGTATGAAAGATGTCGCAAAAAATAAAAATATGAAATTTAACTCAGAGAAAAAAAAATTTTCTGAAATTCTCACTCAAAATTCCGGTAGCGTTATATAGGGCCTATGGGAAGATTTTCTAACCAAAGAAACCCACAATTATAAAATTATAGAACGTGGTTCTGCGCTTTTTAATAGGAAGATTTGTTACCCAATTAGAAAAAAAATTTTTTTCAAAAAATTCACTCTTTTGCGGATCTTTAAAAATTATTTGTAAAAAAATACTCTGCCGTGGATCTTTAAAAATCTACGTTTCTGCAGATATTAAAAAAATAATATTGAAATAAAAACCAATCATATACATGTTTAAAAAACATATTCTTCAAAAAATCACGCAAGTGTGGATCCTTAAAACATATATTTTAAAAACAACCAAGCTTCTGTTTATCCGTGAGAAAATATATTTTTAAATCCATGGTTCTGTGGTTCTTGATATTTTATATTTATTATGATCATTTATATTTATACCCTACACAACTATGTTGTCAGGGTATAATAGCTTTGTGCAGCCCCAAATGTTTGTAACGCCGCGAAATATTAGTCCTAGACCCACCTTTAAGTATACCGATCGTCATATCTCGACTAGCTGAGTCGATCTAGACATGTGTGTCCGTCCGTCCGTCTGTCCATTATAATTTGTAAACACGATACAGGCCACAGTTATGGACCAAACTTCACGAAATTTTGCATGTAGGATGGGTTCTGGCCAATGAAGACCCCTATTGTTTTTGGAAAAGATCGGTTAATATTTAGGGGATGAAATGGACCAAAAACATTATTTTTGTCGGGTTTTCTGGTCGCTCCAGAGGCCGCAATCATGGCCCAAACACCGCGAATTTTTGCATGGAGAAGGGGATCGGGCCAGAGAATAAGCATGCATGTTTTGATAAAGATTGGTCAATATTTAGCGGGTCAAATGGACCCTGACTTTTGTGTGAAAAATGACAAAATTTGTATTCTATGGCATATATATTTACTCCTGGAGGATGTAGACCCCAGGAGTTGATAGCATATCCAAGAGGAGTGGTTTTCCTTTAAATTGATACCAAATATAGTGACGCATCTACTCAGATGTGGGAGTTACAGTCAAATATTTACAGGTGCTTACGTATTCAGATATTATCTAGTAACCCATTACCACATTAGAGGGAGAAATATCGCGCTGATGGCTTTGAAATTTTTCATGAAGTTCCAGTTATGGTCAAGAACAACGCCTACAATTTTCGGTGATGATCAGATTAAAATTTTGGGATGAAATGGACCGAAAACATAATTTTTTGTGTGTTTTCGATCCGAAAATCTCAACACAACCTACCGTGAAGGTAATCTGGACAAGTAAATAGAAGGATTGTACTGAATATTCGAAAAAAGTAAGGAAGAGGTGTTGTTAACCTCTAATCGGACAAGAGGGGGCAAATATCACGAAATATTACTCAGACTCGGAATAAACATCCTCAGAAAGTTAGAGTTCGTGGTAGTTGTGTAGGGTATCGCATGGTCGGCCCCGTCCGACTATACTGCTCCGCTCACTGGTTTTAAATTAATGTTTTTGTGAATCCTAGAAAAAAATATGTTTTTGTAATAATCCACTTTTGTGTGGATCCTTCAAACATTTTATACCCTACACAACTATGTTGTCACGGTATTATAGCTTTTTGCAGCCCCAAGAGTTTGTATGCCGCAAAATATTGGTCCTAGACCCACCTTAAGTATATCGATCGTCATATCTCGACTAACTGAGTCGATCTAGACATGTGTGTCCGTCCGTTCGTATGTCCATTATAATTTGTAAACACGATATAGGTCACGGTTATGGACCAAATGAAGGCCCCTATTGTTTTTGGTAAATATCGGTTAATATATAGGGGATGAAATGGACCAAATACTAAATTTTTGTCGGATTTTCTGGTGTAGAGGCCGGAATTATGAAGGGAATCGGGCCAAAGAATAAGCATGCCTGTTTCGATAAAGATCGGTCAATATCTAGCGGGTCAAATGGACCCAGACTTTTGTGTGAAAAATTACAAAATTTTTATTCTATAGCGTATATATTTACTCCTGAAAGACATAGTCCCGAGATGTTGATAGTATATCCAAGAGGAGTGGTTGGCCTTTAAATTGATACCAATTACGCTTACGTATTCAAATATTATTTAATAACCCTTTACCACAATAGAGGGCGGAAATATACCGCTGATTGTTTTGAAATGTTCCACGAGGTTTCAGTTATGGTCAAGGACAACACCTATAATTTTCGGTGATGATCAGATAATAATTTTGGGATGAAGTGGACCGAAAACTTATTTTGTGTGTATGTGTTTTTTTTTGAGTCGATCTATAGGCTACAATTATAAGCCGAACATCACAACACAACCCACGGTGAAGGGAATAGGGACAAATAAGGACTGTAATATTCGGAAAATATGTCAGTGTAAGGAAGACGTGGTCTTCACCTCTAATCGGTGAGGATGGTGCAACTATCACGAAATATTGTCCAGGCTTGGAGTATACATCCGCAGAAAGTTCGAATTCCGTGGTATTTGTGTAGGGTATCGTATGGTCGGCCCCGTCCGACTATACTGCTCCGCTCACAGTTTTTTTTATTAAATTCAAACTTCCGTGGACCCTTGAAAAATATATATTTTAAAATCCAAGCTTCAGTAGAGGTTTCAAAAAATATATTTTTAAAAAATGAATACTTGAAATATATTTTTAGAAAGTAAACGTCAACGCTTCAGTAGACCCTTTAAAAATATATACTTCATAATCCTTGAAATATATTCTAAAAAATTCCACGTTTTAGTTTATCGTTTAAAAATATTATTTACAACTCCACGCTATTTCTGAATCCTTTAAAAATATTATTACAACATCCATACATCCATATCCATGCTTCTGTGGTCATTTAAAAAAGTAACTTTAAAAAATTTCCGCTTCTGTGAAGGCTTAAAAAATATTTTTTAAAACAAACTGCAGTTCCTTGTGAAAACACACTTTAAAAAAATCCACTCTTCTCTTTAAAAAATATTCTTCAATAAACTACGAGTCCATGGGTCATTGATTTTTTAAATCTATAAAAAATCTACGCTTAAAATAGTCCTTGAAAGAATTTCATTTTAAAAATCCACCCTTATAATGGTACTTAAAAAGATATTCGTCTAAAAATCCACTCTTCGAGCTGTGATAATTCCTTAAAAATTCACTATTGGAAATCCCCCATAGCCACTCACAACCACTGTTTGCTGTAACTGTAAATAACAAAAAAAAAAAAAAATGTACCAATTGATGGTTAGTTGCTGTTAGTACAGGTGCTAGATATACTAGCTGGGGTTCATTTTGGTTGCTCGTGCCGCTCTGTCTGCCATCGGACAGACAGCTAGATGGACAGACACGACATACACGTTGATGGTAATTAGTTGCAACGATGAGCAAGCTATGCTATCATCATCGCTGACTGCATGGCTAGCTAACTTGACTCTACTAACCATTTTAAATAGCTGATGAGTTGTTGCCATTACGTTTAAGCTTGTTTTCAATTATTGTTGTTTTTGCTTGCTGTTGATGATTTGTTGTTGTTGTTGTTATGTTTACATTTGTGGTGTCGTTTTATTTTTGTTGTTGTGTGGAGATAATCGATGTTACGTCGTTCGTACATCCATAATTGTTTGATTGGGGAGAAGCAGCAGCACGTGCTGGCTTCTTACATTGTTGTAGGTGGTGGGGTTGTTGTCTTTTTTTACAATCGGAGGGGTTTTGGGTATAAATTTGCAAATTTGGTTGGTAACTTATATTAATTTATAAAAATATATACATATGTAATTATCTTGATAAGCTGATTTTTAAAAGAACATTTTCAGGGAAATCTCGTACTTGAAGCCTAGATTTTCGAAGCATGTTTTTTCTAGACTGTAAACCTGAATTTTAAAGAATGCTATTTCAAAGCTCTAAGCGTGGATTTTCAAAGAATATTTTCTTTAAAATTGTTACGGCTCTATGTGGGGAATTTAAAGACCATTTCCACAAATTATAAGAGCTGTAAGTGTGGATTTGTATACTCTGAGCTTTTTTTTCAGAAAATTGACAGTACGTTGCTATTTTGGGTTAACAGTTTAGGTACTTTTGGAATTTTAGACAAGGTTTCAACAGATGAATCCTAACAGACGTCGCATTTTTAAAAGACCAGTAAAATGAAATTGGATCCATTAAAACGTCATTCTGCAACCGATACTAAATTTTCTAAATCCGAAGTTTGGTGGACCATTTACATTAAATAGGGCGAAAATATATATGGGAGCTATATCTAAATCTGAACCATTCTATACCCAATTCACTACGTTGTGCCAAATTTCGTGCACATCGCATTAAATCGGACGAAAATAAATCTGAACCGATTTTTCCCAATTTCAATAGGGTTCGTCCTTGGGCGAAATAAATGACCTATGCCAAATTTCATCCAAATTGGATCATAAATGCGACCTTTACTTTTTTCACGAAAATACATGGACAAAAATACAGACGGACATGCGTAAATCGACTCAGAAAGTGATTCTATTCATATTCTCAGCAGGAACCATGTGTCTATCTCGTTTCCTTTTTCCTGTTACAAACATATGCAGAAAGACATAATACCCTGTACCACAGTGTGGTGAAGAGTATAAATATATGTTTTTAAAAATCTACGCCTCAGAGGGTCTTTAAAAATTTTGTTAAAGCCAGTGAGCGGAGAAGTATAGTCGGACGAGGCCCAGGCAATATTCCCTTCACCGTGGGTTGTGTTGCAATGTTCGGCCTATAATTGTGGCCTATAGATCGACTCGAAAAAAACCCCAAAAAATTGGTCAACTTCATCCCAAAATTATTACTGATCATCACTGAAAATTAAAAGTGTTTTCCTTGACTATAACTGCAACCTCATTGAATATTTCAAAGCGATCAGCGGTGTGGTAATTGGTTACTAAATAATATCTGAATACGTAAGCTCCTGTAAATATTTACGTGTAACTTCCACATCCGAGTACATACGACAATATAATTGGTATCAATTTATAATATCAACTTCTCGGGTCTGTGTCCTTAAGGAGTAAATATATACGCCATAGAATATAAATTTTGCAATTTTTCACACAAAAGTTAGGGTCCATTTGACCCTCTAAACATTGACCGATCTTTATCAAAACAGGCATGCATATTCATTGGCCCAATCCCCTTCTCCATGTAAAATCGACATGTTTGGGCAATAATTGCGGCCTCTGGAGCGACCAGAAAAACCGACAAAAATTCAGTATTTCATCCCTAAATATTAACAGATCTTTACAAAAAGCAATAGGGGTCTTCATTGGACCGAACCCATCCTACATGCAAAATTTCGAGAAGATTGGTCAATTAAAGGTGGGTCTAGGACCAATATTTCACGGCGTTACAAACTCTTGGGGTTGCACAAAGCTATAATACCCATATAGTTGTGTAGGGTATAAAAACTTCGATGCCCTGAATCAATGAAAAATTTTATATTTTATATTTATTTTTTAAATATTACTTGGAAAGTATTTTTAAAAAGTTATCGATTCTGTGGATTTACAAAAAATCCACGCTTTTGTGGTTCTTTGAAAAAATATTATTTAAAAAATCCACACTTCTGTGGATCCTCAAAAAATTAGACCAGTTTGAAGGATTTTTTTTTCAAACGAGTTTTTTATTATGAGCTGTTTTATATATCTTCCTACAAAAAATTATAAACATCGCTCTATCTTTGATGTATTTTCTTGATGGAAGTGACTATTTTAAAGCGTACGGTACCTTGATAGTTAAACAACTTTTTCACGGAGAATTTTAAATAGAGGTTCATGTTTTGACAAAGTCAAACAAAGTTAACCCATCGTATGCGCTCGTTCAACGCTCTAAGCCAATTTTCCAAGCTGAATGTCTGTGTTTTGCTATTTCTTTTTCTATTGGCAGCAACTTACCATGGCTATCCCATATAAAAATTCCGATCAAGTTTGGGTATTTTGGATATCCACCAACCAAATGATGGAGAGTATATCAATTTCGGGCTGTGGAACTCAACTACGTGTTTATTTGTAACAGAGAAATGTTTCCTGGAATTATCACAGGTCGGACCTTAAGAACTTTTTCTATATAAATCCACGTTTATAGAAAAGGTTCTTAAGGTCCGAAAATTATATGGCTGCTTGAAATAATATTTATTTTTTTCACCGTTTGAAATAAGATTTTCTGGTCTTTGTGGTTGTAGACTTTGACAGCTAAGATTTTTTGTGCTAAAATATATTTCCAACCAGTAAAAAAACTCAAAACCATTCAACTTGCAATTGTCATGGCAATAGTTAAAAACCAGTTTGGTTTTTTCTGTTGGGACTCTATCGGAAAATTACAATCTTTGGTTAGACAAAAAGTTTGCTAAAACGTTGTCTAAGTCTTAGTTCGATTTTCCTAACTATGCAGCTACTATCGAAAAATAGCAACAACAACAAAAGTGTAAAGCACGATTCTTATTTAAAATTAGTTACAGTTAAGTGAGTTTTTTTTTTGTATTTCCAAACACAGATTATTTCTAAATTATTTCCCTTCCCCTGTGTACACAGTGCAGAACCCACCTCCAAAACTGATCATTGTCAGACGTCCATTGGAGTCATTTATTTTTTTTGTACCCAAAAAAATCAACTTTTTGGTCCCAACGTTAATTGCAGGCTAGCAACTAACGTTACACTTCAACGTGAGGTACAAAAAAATATATTTTCGGCAGATTGTTGTAGCCCCCCTCTTGATGTAAATGAATGGCTAGCTGGTTTTGCTGGCGTTGCTAATACCACTGACTGACTGCCAATTTGGTTGACTGCCTAGCTGAATTGTTGTTAAGTTCTATAAAAGAAACATACATTTAAACGGTAGATGGTCTGGTCTCGCTTCTGCACTTCTGCATGATGTGTTTTTTTCTTCTTCTTGGCCAAGATGCATCCATTTGGTCGTACGGAATGGATGAATGAATGGATGATGCCTTAATTTTCGGTTTTTACTATAGCCATAAATCATTTGGTCCAACGGCATTATGCACGAGGCACGAGGACGTCCATCGAAAGATGACTTTGCAAGATTCAACAAAAAAATTGAGACGGTTGAAGGTTATTATTGATGTCGTCTGGCATTTGATTGTCAATAACTATTTGCCAGTCAAATGGGTATGTTCACGGTTATGGTCAACAACATCGATGACATGGGCATAACGCCATTGTCAGGGTCATCTCTAAACGGATGGTTTATGTAACAAAATGTTTATAGAATTTAAAAATAGTAAACGTATAGAATTTTTTTATGAAATTTCTTTGGAAGTGTAATACAAGAGGCTAGTAAACGTAGTATAGATCGGATATCGCCAGAGTATCCCATGCTAATTTCAAACTTGAACATTGGTAGACATTGGATGACACAAAATATTTCATCTTTGCGAATTTTAAGAAATAATGTATAGAAAAAATCTGAGCTTGATTATCCAGAATTATAAAGTAAGGAAAGAACAAGAGTTGGTCAGGTCGATTCTATGATATTGTACAACACTTTGGGTTTATACAAAAGATGTTGACAAGATTCGTATTGTAATATTTTGTAATAATTACACCGATTAAAACAAAACATAAAAAATGTCCTCTCTATGGAACGCATTCGGTAACTTGCTGATTATTTGATGAAGAATTTGAGTGAAATGGGACGAAATATATATAGGCGCTATATATGAATCTGAAAGGATATGGCCGTCACGTCATTCTATATTCAATTCGGTACAATGTCCTAAATTGTATAATACTAGAAGAAACGTTGGGCACCATTGTGCCCGGCCTAAAAAAAAATATATAAGAGCGATTACAATAGTGTTCATTTTTGGTTGTACCAAATTTAATCTCATTTGGATCATAAAAGCGATCTATAATTTTCATATAAAATTACATGAATAGATAGATGGACGGCCGGATATGTGTAAATCGATTCATAAAACCAGTGAGCAGAGCAGTATAGCCGGACGGGGCCGACCATATGATACCCTAAACAACTTCCACGAAAATCTTACTTTGAGTAGTTCTATATTCTGAGCTTGGGCAATATTTCTTGATATTTTCACCCTATTGATCGACTAGAGGTCAAAAAATATTACTAATATTAAGTACAGCCCTTCTAATTACTTGTCCATATTCCCTTCACCATGGGTTGTGTTGTGATGTTTGACTTTCAATTGTTGCCTATAGATCGACTCAAAAAAATAAATACAAAAAAAAAAGAGTTTTCGGCCCACTTCATCCCGAAATTATTATCTGATCATAACCGAAATTTATAGGCGTTGTCCTTGACCATAGCTGGATACTCATGGAAAATTTCAAAATATATTTCCGACCTCTAGTGTGGTAATGGGTTACTAAATAATATCTGAATACGTAAGCACCTGTAAATATCTCCGAGTACATACGACAACAAAATTGGTATCGATTTAAAGGAGAACCACTCCTCAACT